CGATTAGCAACCGTTATTTTAATCCACACTCATTGAATTCTGAGATCAATGTAAATTGCTGATTCTACCCTGAATGAATTTATTCTCATAATTAGATTATCTTCCATTCACGAAGAATTGGACTAACTTTACGACATTCACCATTCCACAGCGAAAACTGTAATCATCATCAAGTTATCATGAATGAAGCAGAACGCGCTCATATTCTGCAACCTTTCGTAGTCATCATTTAAGGATCGTCCCAATCAGTCGTTGATTTATTCACAGAGCATTTTTATCGTTATTTCATCGATCATCGCTAATCACTTTCAGAAGAGGGTCGTGCGTTTCTTAATGATGTGTTCCATGTTGAGGAGAAATCTAAGCTTCAAAATGAATCAAATGCCGAAGACCTGATTTATTTCATTCGCGAGGCGTTCGAGTATTTCGCAATGGTCGATTATCCGTACCGAACAAGTTTCCTGCAACCGTTACCTGGCTGGCCAGTTCAGGTGATTCGAATGATAACTCGGAAAGGTTCTTTGAGTTACTAACGCTGCACAAATCAACACAGCGGAAGTGACTGATTATGACTCTCTGCAACCCTCACAAATCGCAACGCAATTGATCGAGTGTTGTTCAACGTTGTATCACATTTGCTAGTTTACTGCGAACTATTAATCTCAAGGCTGCTTGCTTATCATTTGAGCGTCAACACTGTTTGCTCAAGCAGAAAGTTTTCCTTCAGGCGGCATGTAATCTTGTCAAAGAGCAGTACCCCAAACCACCAAAAGAAGACGAAGATTTGGTAAAGTACCTGTATATTATCTCGAATCTTTATTATAACTCCACCGGACATGAGACAACGAACTGTGTCATTTCGAAAGTATGCGGTGATCCAGCCACTAACGGTCTCGGCTCTGATGCTCTCGGATGGCCGTGGCAAGTAAGTTGATGCTTGAAAATATGCTAACACACTCCTTTAAGCCCTCTAGAGAAGTCGTTATCTGTCACAGCACTCTGATGCAATGTGTCGTTATCCCGTAATTAAATGAATTTGAATGATGCATAATTTTATGCGAAACAATTGAAACGTTCATCGTTCAAAGCACGTACAGGAATGATGATCGCTTTGAAGATGATTTTTTCTGCAGTTATTATGATATGATGAAACACCCCTGTGGTGGTGTTTTTTTTTTTTGAAATGAATACCCAAACACTGTCCATTCTTGGACTGCCACCTTCTTCCTACAATATTCTGGGTATGCTCGCTAAGCCTGCTCACACTAACTGATGCGCATTACTCACCCCATTGATGGAATTTACGGGTCGGCTTTCGACTTTCTTTCGACGTTACACCAACAAATGAGTGAATTATTGTATGGAGTTAATGGTGACCTGCTGCAGTGACAAAGGGGTGAATGAGCGTACGGAGAAGCACTGCTCGATAAAACGGCTGAATCCTGAATCGATTAACTACATGATTCCATTTAGTCTTGTACCGAACTTGTGATGGAGATATGTGCAGAAGGTGGTAAAAATGACTTCTTCTGGGATGAATGTAAAGAGGCTGATGGTGTTCTCAATATGGTCAAGAGATTCTGTCTTAAAACGTTCGAGGATATTGGTTACACCGAAAAGTTTTTGTTCGAAAATGACGCTCCGATTGAATACGGTCTCGAATTTGCTGCTGCTAGCAATATCGTGTTTACGTAAGTTTCATTCTCTTCAATTATTACCCGCTTTTCTATAGCAGTTGTTTTTGGTATCGAGACAGCAGCATTACAGAATTGATGTCTAAGAAATTTCAAGAACAAATGGGCATGTTGTCAAGCATGCTTCTCATGTATTGTTCATTTTATTTTCTCTCAACAGTTCACGATACGACTACAAGTCGTTTTCTATCAATTTCTCTTGTGCTGTTCGGGGATATCATCGCATGAGATCGATTTTTACACTGATTATTCGTATTTTAAATGTTTTCGTATTATTATTCGTATCACTTGGCTCACTTTTTTCAAATGCAGTCAAATAATTTTCTTCACACAAATGAATTTTAGTGTCGGTGAAATGTGACCTTAAGATGCGCACATTTTCGATGCGAATTAATTGCATCTGAACACGTGAAGGCACGCAACACATCCATGTACTCGAATCCTAATCGACGAGTGGAACATCTGGAGAAGCATAGCTATAATGCCTATAAAATCATTCAGGAATGGCAATCTAGATCCATGGTCCGTGGGCGGAGTATTCGAAGACACACCAGGCGTGAAAGAAGCCGCTAAGAATGGTGTGTACACGTTCTTCATCACTAATGGTGCACATCATCTGGATATAAGACAGCCGAACACCTGCGACCCAGAATCGGTCAAAAATGCTCGATTCCAGGTAAAAATTCATTGTCTTCTGAAATTATGGCTTGCCAAATTCTTATAAGATGGTCCAAGCAGGTTGCATAAGAAAGCGTACTAAATGAATACTGTCGAAGAGCAAAAATTTGGCAATGATCAGGTTATTTATTTAATGAGCAACTGCAAGTTCATGCCTCTTTGTTCATAC